TATTTTTGGTGAAACCGAGGATTGAACTCAGGCCCTTGTGCTTGCCAGAGAAGCGCTTACTCCACTGAGCCATCTCCCTGGCCCCCTCTTGTTTTTAGATTTACTTAGAAAAGTAGTAATTTTTTATATCAAGGTGAGGAAGAGATTTAAAATTAAGATACAGGTATGATGGTGCATGCCTGTAATCCTACCATTCAGGAGGCTGAGGCAGGAAGATCACAGTGAGTCCAAGACTAGCCTGAACTCTACATAGCAAGACTTTGTCTCAAAAATCCAGGGGGGAACCCCACAGAAATAATACTACAGAAACAGGAAATTAAGAAAAAATAATTAAGCTTTAAAAACAATCTGCTGGAATTACAAGCATGGGCCACCAAGCCCAGACCTTTTATTGTCTTTTTGAGACAAAGTTTATAGTTCAGGCTGGCCTTGAGGTGTAACCCAGGCTGACCTGGAACTTGTGGCATTCTTGCCAGTACTTGGGATAGCAGGCGTGTGTCATCCCACCTCGCTCAGAATGCATATTTAATGCTATTTCATTTATATTGCAAAAAGTAAATCTTTGAGTCATTTTTCTCCTTGAACATTTACGTCTTGTGAAATAAATCAATGTATTGTGGATATAGAGTTGTATTCATTTCGATGGAAGCACTTTTAAATGAATGTGCAATGTTTGTAGGGCTCTCTTTTGTCATAGTCCTACTCATATACTATCTTCATGGTATTTATTGCTTAGGATTTACTGTATTAGAAGGTACTAAATGCTTTTATTTTTATTTTTTTTGCGGAACCGGGGATTGAACTCAGGCCCTTGTGCTTGCCAGGGAAGTGCTTATTCTACTGAGCCATCTCCCCGGCCCCTAAATGCTTTTATTTTACTAATTACTCATTTGAGCACATGAAATCACTGACTTGATAAGGCTAAATTTTTGCTATTAAATCATTAAAATAATTTGAGAATATTAAAATATCATTTGTCATTGCCCCTGCCCCTATATAACCTAGGGTGTTTGTTCTGAGCTATATCCCTAGTCCTTTGTATGCTTTTATTTTATTTGTTTATTTATGTATTTACTTAATTTTTGTGGCCGGCTCATCTGTCTTGGGGGTGTGGTATATGATGCCAAGGATTAAACTGCGATCCCTGCACTTTCCTAAGCTTGTATAAGCTTGCCTAAGCGGGTACTTTAGACTGCTAAGCTATCTGCCAGCCCCTTTTATGTTTTTATTTTGAGACAAGGTTTCACTAAGTTGCCAAAGCTAGGCTCAAACTCATGACGTAGGCCCTGCTTCAGCCTCTCAGAATTTACCTCTAATTCTCTAAGAATTTATTGTGTCCTCTGTTACTCCCCACAACCTTTTATTTATTTATTTATTTATTTGTGTGTGTGTGTGTGTGTGTGTGTGTGTGCACGCGCGCACGCGTGTGCATGTGCTAGAGATAGAACCAAGGGCCTCAGGTATGTTAGGAAAATACATTACCACTGACTCATACTCCCCCGCCCCTTTTCCAGTTTTTGCTAAGATTTGTATCTATTTTATCCATATAGTGTGACTTAGTGGGATTTCCTAGTAGATATATAGGCCTACATTCAATCTCTTGTTTAACTAGTGTCTTTTATTTTGATCACTTAGGATATGATTTTTTTTTTTTTTTTTGTCTTTCTCCTTTTAATTATACTGGTTTATTGATCTGTATTTTCTCTAAAGCCTTGGTCATTTCTGTTTGGGAGGGTGCTACAGAAAATGATAATTTTATTAGAAGGCAAATGACATTTAGAATGTGTGGTGGAAAAATTTATCTTCAGAATCATAGTTGTGGGCCAAGGATATAGCTCAGTCATACAGTGCCTGCTTGGCAAGCTCAAGGCCCTGAGTTCAATTCCGGGTTCCAAAGAAAAAACAATCCAACAACAGAATTGTAGTTGTGAACTAATATATATTTTTTAAAGTTGTTTACAGGACTTAGAGCACCTGCCAGGGGATTATTACTCTTTGGTCCACCTGGAAATGGGAAGACAATGCTGGTAAGAATTTTCAGTTTTCTGTTGGAATACTAGGAAAACACAGAACCTTCTCATTGAACTAAATAAACAGAAAACTGTTACTCTCAAGAGTAACAGTTTTTGGTTTAGTTTAGCTTTTTTTTTGTTGTTTGTTTGTTTTTTTGTTTTGGCGGAACCGGGGATTGAACCCAGGCCCTTGTGCTTGTTAGGGAAGTACTTATTCTATTGAGCCATGTCCCCAGCCCATTTTTTGTCTTTTTGAGACAGAGCGTAGCTATGCAGTTCAAGCTGGCCTTGAACTTACTATTTAGCCCAAACTGGCCTTGAACTCACTGCAGTCTTTCTGACTTGGCCTCCCAAGTGCTGGGATAACAAGTATATACCGCCATCCCTGCCTGGTTTGTTTTTTTTTTTTTTGCGGACCGGGGATTGAACTCAGACCCTTGTGCTTGCCAGGGAAGCACTTATTCCATTGAGCCATCTCCCTGGTCCCAAGAATTCTGTTTTTGTTTTGTGAACCAGCAATTGAACTCAGGACCCTGTGCTTTCCAGCCAGGTGCTTATTCCACTGAGCCATCTCCCCGGCCCTAGTTTATTGGAAGAGCTTACCCTACCATACCATATTGAATATCTTTCTAACTGTTAATATTTTGCTGTCTTAATAGATTTTATTAAATAGTATGTGTTTTTCTAGTATCCTTTTACCAGAAATTGGTACCAAGGTCTAAATGCCTTTTTTTTTCCCCTTTCATTTATGCATTGGTACAGGATCTCACTATGCAACTTGGACTCATAGTGATCCTCCTGTTTCCACCCTCTCCAGGGCTGGGATTATAGGAGTGAGCCACCGTGCCCAGACCTTGTTGCCAGCTCAGCACGCCCCAGGGGCAGGGCCCCTGTGCAGACTGCAACCTTGGTTCCTGTTCCTGCCAAAGCAGGCGCTTAGTCCGCTGAGCTATCTCTCATTGGCCCTACCTCTCTTTTCTGTATCTTTCTTCTCCATAGAAAAAGAATAACTTTTTCAGTAGCTATTTGTCTTCATGTAACCAGTTATTTTTCCTTTTTTTTTTTTTTTTTTGGCTTTTTGAGACATGGTCTCATATGCAGCTGTAGCTGGCCTTGAGCTCACTTTGTAGCCCAGGCTGGTGTCTAACTTGCAATAATCTTCCGGCCTCCGCCTCCCAAGAGCTGGGATTATAGGCATGCCCTGCCATACCAGGTATTTTTCTATTCTTAAAGGTTAGTACCCCACATACCCATTCTCTCTTACAAGAGAGTAAAGAAGCAAAGCTCTTTCCAGAACTTTTTCTCCCAGCAAAGGGAAACATATGCATTGCCATATGTGGGAATTCTCTTGTACATTTTTAGAAAATCTGTTCTAGCACTTAAGTTGATTAAATGTCACTATCTTTTTTTAAAGCAAAATACGGAACTAATGTGTTTGTTTTTCTGATTTTTAAAGGCTAAAGCAGTAGCTGCTGAATCTAATGCAACCTTTTTTAATATCAGTGCTGCAAGCTTAACTTCAAAATATGTAAGTTTTTTTCCAGTTTTGTCATGTTTTAAATTCCTGTTTCACTGTTACTATTTTGTTCTCATCTTAAGGTTGTTAGTGTAGAACAGGGCTAGTTTAATGAATGGGCTGTAACAGGAAGAAACCTAAAAGACAGCAAGTGTATACACACAATCCATTGTACTAATAAAATCTGCCAAAGTAAACTATTAAATAAATAAATGTATGTGTGCTTTTTTAAAAAAAATAAATATATTTAGATCAGGGTCTACAAGGGTCTCACTACACAGATCGGATTCATAGTGATCCTCCTGTTTTCAGCTTCCCAAGTGCTGGGATTACAGGCTTGTGTCACCACGCCCAGTCTCAGTTGCCTCCTCAGCACACCCTGGGCATGAAGCTGGCATGATGAAGGATTGAACTCCAGTCAACCCCAGTCGCTGCATCTGCCTAAGCAGGTGCTTTACTCTGCTGAGCTATCTGGCCGGCCCTCTACTGTGTTAAATATAAATAAGGATTTTTTTTTTTTTGTTTTTGGAAGCAGGGTTTCATTATCTATTTCAAGCTGACCTGGAACTCATAGTGATCCTCCAGCCTCAGCCTTCTGAGTACTGGGATTATTGACATATGCCACCAGGCGTGGCAAATGATATTTCCAAAAATAATTTTCTATGAGTTTTCTATTTCTTACACATGATGAATATCAGTCTTCAGTGTAGAAAGTT